CCCCAAAACCCCAAAACCCCAAAACCCCAAAACCCCATATAAGCAGGAAACAGTTAACTTTGATAAATAATTAAAATATAAGATGGAAAACATAATCGAAGATTTTAGTGTCCCAATGGAGGCTAGTCGCCATTCAGTAAGGGAATCTCGTATTAATGAAAATATTCTGGTCAAAGATAAAGGCCGGGTAATGCATGCAGAAGTTCAATCATGAAGACTTGATAGATTAGGCCTCAAGCGCCCGATCAATCAACCAGCTATGACGTTTGGCTCATTAAAGGCTGAAGATCTTGTCCTATCAAAGGTTGAAGTAAAAAAGGAAAATCCTTGCGCATCCCGTTTACTTTACCCTAAATTGGAGAAGACAGCAAGTGGTTCCTCTAGCAAGAGGAAATTTCAACAGTTTAAGTTAAGACAGTCCTCGACGGCTTTGATATAATCTAATAACTTTCATGTGAAATGACTGTCTTGGGGTAATAATGGGCTGAAGAGGAGGGTTTGGCATATTTCTTCAGCCCAAATCTTCTTAAGATATTCAAACTTTGACCCTAAATTACTTTCACCGGTATTATATGTCAAATTAATACTGGTACTGGAAGAAATACAACTTTTTGGGTTATTTGCCAATACCTGAAAATTACCAAATAAATATTTAAAATAATAGTATCTGACTTTTTAGAGATTTGCTGAAGTTTGAACCACTTGTTCTTTCATATCATTCAAGATTCTTAAGATTTTATGACAAATTTCTAATATCGATCAAAACCCAATATGAACAACTTCTTTCCATCGAAAAAATTACTTATCCATACCCTCTTCACCCCTATTCATCAATCCCTCCCTACTTCTCTCCCATAAACCCTTCTAAAACCGACCTCTAGAGACCTCTCTTCCCAAACCCCCCAGCCCCAAAATCCCTTGTCAACCCCTACTACACAACCCCATTGTTCTATCTCCTAAATCCCCAGTCAGACTTCTCCATTCCTTCATAAACTTGTGGGCTACAGCCACTGGGCTCACACAGGGGAGGAAGAAGCAGTAGGATTTGTACTGGAGTGATTCATGTAAATGAACAATTCAAATTTCTAGAAATTGGATTTTCCACAGAATTAGAAAGATAGCGAAGGAAGGAAATAAATCGATAGAGAGTAATCAACCGAATGGGAGTATTTATCCTTAAAGAAGTTAAAAGTAAATCTAAGAAGTGATAGGGGCATGCTTCAGGAATTTTATGATAATCTGCTGAGCGATGATTCATAGTTGAGTACTGGGAAATGGCCAAAGGGATTTGAGATGTATGATGACAAAAATAACCAAAAAATAAAAAAAGACTCCAGAGATTGGTTTTAGCTAGATTATAGGGTTAAAACTGCTGTTTTACAATAATTTGGTAAGATATGATCTACCTCGATTTTTGAAATGATGATAAATTTTTGGGAAAGAACAGAATGTTGCAAAACTGGAGATATTATGAGGAGAATTTACCATAAAATGACATTTAGAGGTCTTGGAAAGAATTTAAAATCCAACTGAGCTTTATATGTATTAAGATCTGTAAACCCTCTACTTCTCTATCCCCAGCCTCATAATTCATCAGACTTATTTCGCTGACAAACAAATCAATTGACTAAATCCTGACTAAATTTCTAACCTCTAATAATCCACCCAGAGCGAACAATAATTGAGATTCCTTGGCGTTAATGAATCAAAAGTCTCAAAATTTAAAATTTGTTCGGGACTGTGGCTCGGGAAAGTTGGAGGGACAGAAGGAGGGTGAGGGGGTTGTTAAGAGCAGCTGAGTGAGATTGGGAGGGTTGGGGGAGGGGAAAGAGGAGAGGTTTGAGAGGGAGTAACTGGATTTTTGGGTAAGAGGTTATTCTTTTGGAGGTAAAAATGTTGATAAAAGGGTTCTGGGATGAAGGAAGTGGGGATAACAGCTGTGGTCAAGTTTGCTTTATTCAGAATTTATTTGTGGGTGGTAAAATAGGCACGATTAGTATTATATGTCTATATTAATAACAATTTCAGCATCAAAGGTCCATATTTTGTATTTAGTTAAATTAGTAAACCTCAGCTGAGCTTTATGGTAGCCGTCCTTTATTCTGAACGAACTGACTAAATTTCTTCAAGAGATTATTTAGCCTTCAAACTGTAACTATAGGTGGCAGATATATAATTTGATTCCTACTGTGTCATGCTTTAGAGCATCGATTTCTTCATAAGAATATGTTAAAAATATGTCGAAAGCACTAATTCATAAAAAGAGTCTATTTCATTCATATTTAATTCTTCTCGCAACATGATGAACTAGCATCAGGCTTATAAACTTATCGAAGGGTCATATCAAATTAGTTTGCTCTTACTGTCTTATAGATCCCTTTGGAAGCAAGCCCAACTAATAGATTTTATGAAACTAGTCAGAAATTATGAATATAATTTCAGATTTCAGCAAGTAGTAAGCTATCTTTTTATTAAAAAATCCGGATTTGTAATCCTCTTTACTCACGAATTTGACTGCCAAGGATGCTGACTTAACAATGAGGAGTAAATTAGTTAATTTTACAGTAAGTTTAGACGAGACCAGCATGAATCTAGTCTTAATAAAGCATGAACATGAAGATTGTTATATAGGAAATAGGAAATATTTCATATTATGCTAGAAGCCTAGGTTGTCTTTCACAGTGAAATATTGCTTATCTTAAAGCTTCTAAGCCCGCTCTTGGGAGAAATAGGAATTTCTAACTTGGCATAATTTCTATGAAAGTAACTCAAGACCTTAATAGTTTATGTCAATCCCAAAAACTGACCTTCGCGAAGCTTAAAGTATTATATCCTCATTCAGCTTATGAAAAAGAGGTCTTGTGTGTGCCATTTTCGTTTATTTTATAATAAAAGGAAGTAGCCTGAGCGAGATCACCAGATTTAGAGGACTAATATTTCAGTTAATATCAGCTATAAAATAGAGATTCATGGATTGCACTGAAATCTTTGATTATGTAACCTAGGTTGCTACTAGCATAAATATGGCCCTTTTTATAAATCATAGAGACTTCCTGACCTCCTTCGGGCCTTAATCACTGTTTCTAATAGATTTTGGGCTAATTCTTAAAACCTCATGTGCTACTAAGATCATTTTTAATCAAAGATTCATCATAAAATTAAAACATTAAGTGGCTGTACTGGGATGGGAATTATTGGTGACTATAATAAACCTCCTCATAGACATATTTCTTACTCAGGTTATATATTTCCACAGATGTCTGAGACTATGGCTTAAATTTAGAGTTCTTTAATGTCCTCTCACATTCTGTTGAAGTGTTTTTATACATCTTGGAAAGAAAAAGATTTTCCTAATTTATTCAAACCCAGAATATTGGAATAGGTGAAATACAAAAGATGACACTACTCCGGCTTCCCTAAGGTTCAATTTGCAACTTTAGTATTTTGCAAAATTTTATGGTAGCAAATATTCTAATTTATTTCCTAAGGGCCAACAAACTATAAAATTCTCTTAACCTATACATGAAAATATTACTTTGATTCCTTAATAAAAACGCTTGAAATACGATTCCCAATCCCCAAAACGAAAGGCCAAACTGCTATAACACAAAATCCCTCCATAAATCCACTAAAACTTCCTCCTAAACCTCTCCACTTGCCCTCTAAATCTCCTTAAACCCCATTCTAAAAAGCCACCACACCTCCTTGTGCCCTCTCAGGCCTCTTCACGCCTCAAAGATCCCATCTCTCCCTCAGTCTTCTATTAAAAATCAATTTTTTAGGGTAAATTTCAACATTATCGCCTCCTAAAGGGGTTTTGGGGTTTTGGGGTTTTGGGGTTTTGGGG